CAATTATAGTCATCAAGCTCCATGTTCTTTCTTCTCAACAGATTTCTTGTGTTCAGTCTGTCCCTTAGGAGGAGCCAAATGAAGAATTTGTGCTTTCCCAAATTACTTGATCTCCACATCCAGGTGAAAAGAGGAGAGGCTTATGTGTTTCCAATCAATATACTATACGCTTTCTTGCTACTGAATTTCGAGGAACCCCAGGAATAGCTCCAGCTATTAGTACCTTCAATGTCCCAATTAGTTTCTTCTACTAATTCTAGTACCTCTTCCAGCTGTGCTGCTGCTTGGACTGACAGTGGTAGTCTAAAGATCCTATCCACATCTTGATCAAGAAAGAACCTGATGGAGCACTTAGGCTTTCTGTTGAAGGAGAAGAGTTGTGGAAACTTGTCTTTGAAAGGTTGGCCTGCCCAAGTACCAACCCAGAACAGTTCGGATTGATGACTAGTGAGTGCCCTATAATGTCCCTGCTAACTCCTTGTAGATCTGAGGCAGACCAGGAGTTCGCTTTCTTTTTTTGTCGGCGAAGTTTGCGCCAATAATCACTTTTCTATTTGGGAGGGTGTCTTCAAGAAGTACTGACTTGGTGTCTTCTTCATCCTTCAAGTTGGTTTGCCCCTGAGGCATGTCTGGGGGCTCAGGGGGTTGGCTTTCGCCGGATTCTAAGGAATTTATGTTCCTCTGAGCCTTGGATATTGTCTTCTCGATGTTCTGTGCTTCTTTCTAGCAGCCATGAACTGTGATGACGTCGTGTAGTGTGGCGATCTTCATGCACAGCACAGGTAGCCTGTGTGTATTGCCATATTGAACTTGTTGGCGAAACCTCTGCCAAAGATGGCATTGTAGGGGCAGTATAGGTCAACAACGTCAACTGGGAGGGAAATTTTCCTGGGTGCGTCAATCTTGTTACCTATGAAACCAAATAGATGGGTTTCCGGTGATTGGATTTGGTTTGTACTGAACTTCATTTGATCGAAGGTGTTGCCAAAGATTATGTCTGCTAAATTTCCTTTGTCCTCTAGCATTCTGCTAGTATCCCAGGCTCCTATGTTGGCTTTGATGACCATTACATCTGTGTGTGGGTAGCTCGGAGAAGGTTAGGGGTACCTTCCACCAGTCTATGTAGCATACCAGTCACTATACTGTGATGTTGTTAACTAGCCCTAGATGATCCTTTTTCCGCTTTTTGCTCCGAAATTCCATTGCGGAAGCTTTGGTTATTGGCAGCATCATTCTGATGGTGGGTAATGGTGTGTGTGGGTTGAGTTGGTTTTTTGTGTGTGCCTCTTTGTGTAGGGATGCTGGATTGGAGGTGGTGTGAGGGCTTTGATTTGCCTGTTTTGTATTTGAGATGGGTGGCTAGTTTCAAGGTAGGTGATTTGTGAAGGTTTCGGGCTGATGTAGGATAGGTTGGCTTATGGTTGCTATCTACTTGATGAGCCTTGTTGCTAAGGCTGCTGATGGGGGGCTCTCCATGCCATTAAGAAATTTGGGTAGTGGGCTGCTGCTAGCGTAGAAGGATGTACCATTGTAGAGTTTAGGCTTGGGTATATGGGGCAGTATGGCTGCTACTGCCATGATGTGCTCGAGGTGTGGTTGATTTCCCTTGAAGGTTGTTGTTGTGGAGTTTGTTGGTTTTGCCTCTGGTTGATCCTTTCCTGAGTTTCTTTTGTGTCCGAGTAGTCCATTGTGATGTGGCCTTTGTTTTCTCCATGAAAAAAGCAATACTGTCTTCGCGATTTCTAGTGAGTTTTGATTTTTGTTCTACGGCTTGTTTTGGCAGTTTCTACGGTTGTCTTGTTGATTTGGAGGCCCATTGTCTCGGTTGGACTATGCAGGTTGTTGAGTTGACTGAGGGTTGACATTGAAAATTTGTTGGCCAAGGCCTTGTTGGGGTTGGCTTTGCGTTCTGTTGTCCCTGGGTGGATGCTTGTTGTTTTGGGCTTGGTATTGCTGCTTGAACTTGTTTTGCTCCTCTGTTCTTTTGCGAAGGTCGTTGTCTAACCTGCATTTTTTCTCAAACTTGTTATACAGATCCTCTATGGACGAAGGTTTTTCATGGGCCAGTTGCCCTATGAAAGGTCTAATGCCAAGGCCCTTGACGGCAGCCTTGATTGCTACTTCTTCGGGTACATTAGGTGCTCCTACTTTGAGGTGCATGAATCTCTGATAATACCCTTTGAGGGATTCTCCTTGCTTTTGTTTGCATTGGAAGAGATTGGAGGCCATTAGGGATTCATTTGCAAATCCTTTGAAGTTTGTCATTATCTTGTCGCGGAGGTCCTCCCAAAAATACACTGACTTTGTCCTTAGCATTGAGTACTAGGACAGGGCATCCCCCTCTGCCACAATGATGAAGGACTTCACGAGCACTGTGTCATTTCCTCTGGCGGAGCTATAGCTGCTTCGAAGCTCATTATGAACTGACGAGAGTCTGTTTGTCCATTGAACTTGGGCAAAGATATGGGTTTATATGTGGGTGGCCAAGGTGAGGTTTGAAGGCCTTTGGACAATGGAGATTTGTTGTCTATTGGTTTTGGGGGTGGCATGAGGCTGATTGGCATACCGAAGGATGGGTGTAGCTGGGGGCTTGGCTGAAGGTTGTGTTGGCTTTGTTTAGCTAGTGAGGGATGGTTGGAGTTGTTTGATGGAGGGTGGTTTGGTAGTAGGCTTTGAATTTTTGCTTGTAGGACTGCCAGTTGCTGCCTTACCATTGTTGCTTGCTGGGACACGAGAGTTGCTCTTTGATTTGCGGCGAAGGTTGGGAACTGCCTTGACCATTGTTGCTTGATGTGCCGTAGGTGCTTCTTCTGCTTTTTTGCCTCCGCGTTTACCTAAGGTTCAGGGTTCGCTTAGGTGCTACGGGTGCTGCGTTTGGGCCTTCCCCACGTGGAGGTTTCCCCTTGACTCCGAGCGGAGGCCTTTTTCTTTGCTTCCATTAATTGTGGGTTTGTGCTTGGCCTAGCACAATAGGCACCAATGTTGGGAATCGAGGGTCCTAACGAGCCAAGGAAGAGCGCGTTGCTGCTCTCCTCTTAGGTAGCGAAGGCTTCACTTCAGGGTGAAGGCCTTTTGCACGAAAGTATGTGAATATCGATGTAGTTTCTAGGGTTTTGAGCCACAAAAGCTCTCTCTCTTTTCTTGGGGGCCGAGCCCTCCTTTGTATAGGGTACGGTAACAATATTTTGTGAGTACAAGTATGCCCTTGTGACAGCTAAGGCATACTCCTGCAATTCTACCTCCTACAGAACGACATCCTAGGGCCTTAGCATCTTTTACACCTTCAACCGCCTTTGTCGAGGGTCCTTTGTCGAGGGTCCTTTGTCGAACTAGACTTCTAACCCAAAAAGTCCCTCGCCTTGACCCTGTCGCCTTTCCGCTACCGCCTTCGCGTCTCTCTCCATAAGGGACATTGTCCATCTCTGTCCTTCGACCGTGTCAGCACCCTTAAGGCAGTCGAAGGATGCGCTCGCCTTTCCGCCACCGCCTCTGCATCTCTCTCCATCAGGGGCACTACCCATCTCTGTCCTTTGACTGTGTCGGCACCCTTAAGGCAGTCGAAGGATGCGTTCACTGTCCCGTTGGGCGGCCGCCTCGAAGGTCAAGGGGACCCCTCAAAGGCTTCCTTCTTCTCAGACCTCGTCAAAGGTCCCTCAGTGCCTTCGACTATTTTCCTTCCGTAGCTGTCAGCCATCTTCAATTAGGCCTTCATGGTTTCGCCGAAGGTCCCTCCAAGCCTTCAGCCTTCTTTCCATCATAGTGGTCGGCCGTCTTTAGTTCAACCTTCGCAATAAATCCTGTCCAAAATGGTACTCATAGAAAGAATGTTTAGGACCTATTTGGCAGGGCTCCGGCGGCTCCGGCTCCCGCCCCTGTCGGCCGCCCACGGACCGATAGGTGCCAGGCGGAGCCGGAGCCGCGGAGCCCGAAAAACGAGCTTCTCCGGCTCCGCCTGTGTTTGTGAGAGAGGAAAGGAGGAGAGAGAAAATGGCTCCGGTGAACAATAGCCCCCTGTCGGCCCGTGGGCGGCCGACACGTGAACAGGGGCGGAGCCGGAGCTGGCCGGAGCCGTGCCAAACAGGTCCTTATTCTATTAGCGAATCCTTTGGTCGAAAGGCCTCGCCCCAACAATATGATTTCGAAATGGGGCGGTGATGAAGGTGGGGTGCAGGATATATAGTTTTGGATTTTTGGAAGATAAACTTAAGTTCTATATTATGTATTCCCTCCGTCAAAAAAAGAATGTTGTTCCAGGTTTTATGTAAGTTAAACTTTTTCTAAGTTTGACCAGACCTATAAAAAATTAACATTTATATATCTAAATATGTTTATTATAAAAATATATTCAATAATTAACCTAATGGTACTGATTCAGTGTCATAAATGTTAGTATTTTTCTATATAAACTTGGTCAAATTTAAAATTGTTTAACAGCTCGCGAAGTGAGGATTGTATTTGTTTTGAGACAGAGGGAGTATACAACATTTCTAATATGAGCTCAAAATCACAAACGTAAGTAAAAATCTTTTAAGAATTCTATTACGAGTTGTTACTTCCAGTAGGTGTTTACACCCCTCCGGTTTCATCAGAAAAAAATCTAGAAGATGGATAATTCTTTAAATTCCACATCCCTTTTCCATTGTTTATCACAATAGGAACGCTGGCGTTGTCTCCAGACGTAACTACGGTTAAGAACAGTATATTCGTGCTGCCGTACAAGAAAAGTGTTGGATATACGTACATTCTTGCTGTCGTACAAGAAATGTTTTGTCATACTCATTTGCTGCCTTGGAATCTCAAACATCCATCATTTGTTTGCTCTGTCCGCATATAGTTATATAGTCACAACATGCACACTTTCTATCCATATGCATAGCTAGTTACCACAGTCGATCGAGGTTAAAGATCGTAGCATGTTCTCAGCTGGAGATTCCAGGTGGCCTGCTAGTCGAAACTACTCATGCAGCAGCGTGTTGTGGCACTTGAACGGCCTTGGCAGCATGATGTTCCACCGCCTCCAGAAGGCAGTGACGACATCAGTGGACTGTCAGCCAGGAAGGGCTCGCAGGCAGATCAGGGTGCTCGACGCGCTGGACGCTGCGAAGACACAGTGGTATCACTTCACGGCGGTGGTAATCTCCGGCATGGGCTTCTTCACAGACGCCTACGACCTCTTCTGCATCTCCCTCGTCACCGACCTCCTCGGCCGCATCTACTACCACAATACGGCCTCTGACGACCCTGGCTCGCTCCCTAAACGTGCCGCGGCTGCCGTCAAAGGCATCGCGCTTCTTGGCACCATGTTCGGGCAGCTCTTCTTTGGTGTACTTGGTGACAACATGGGACGGAAGCGCATATATAGCGTCACCCTTGTACTCATGGCTGTCTGCTCCATCGCCTCCGGCCTCTCATTCCACCACACGCCAACGACGGTTGTGACAACGTTGTGCTTTTTCCGCTTCTGGCTCAGCTTCGGTATCGGTGGTGACTACCCGCTATCAGCCACTATCATGACGGAGTATGCCAACAAGAAGACCCGTGGTGCGTTCATGGCCGCTGTATTTTCCATGCAGGTGAATGATAGCGTAATATATACAAACCGGCCATATAGTGAATACTTATGCCAACAAATTAACTTGTATATTCAAATTAATAATTTTTCCGACTATGCACCCATACATGTTCATATTCCTTGCAGGGATTGGGAAATCTCGCTGCTGGTGTTGTTGTATTAACAGTCTCAGGGAGCTTCATGAACACACCGACCTACACAGCTGACATGGTTGGAACGGCTGACTACGTGTGGCGCATAGTTCTAATGTTTGGCGCCATACCAGCTCTCCTCACGTTCTACTGGCGCATGAGAATGCCCGAGACAGCGCGCTACACGGCTCTAGTTGGCAGGAACTTAAAGCAAGCTGTCTCCGATATGAACAAGGTACTAGACATCGACATCAACGACCTCACCGAGGAAGAAGATGCGAACATGCTTGCCAGACAAGATATCGGACTGCTTGAATTTGCCGAGTGTCCGAAACACTCAGCAAACCACCTAAAACACTCGGCAAATGGTTCGCCGAGTGTAACACTCGGCGAACAGCACTTGTCAAAAAAAAGTGACGGCAAAGCCAACTTTGTCGAGTGTTTTTTATCGGGCACTCGGCAAAGCCTTTGCCGAGTGCCCGACACTCGGCAAAGTTGAAACCGAAAAAAACCCGAAAAAATGGGAATTTTTACCCAAAAAAAAATGGAATTTTTTTTATCGATGGAGGCCCCCACCGGCCAGCGCCCACCCATCTACGACATTTTTCGCGTGAATTTCATGGCGACGCGATCGACGTGATTCGAACCTGAGACCTCTCGCTGTGCATGTACCTCTTCTACCACTACACCACACTCTCACTTGTGTCTGGATTCCGTTTTAGTTCCCAATATATTATATTAAACCGAGTGTAAATTGCATGTTTGAGGCCCTAAACGAATTCAAATAAAAAAGTTGTAAACTACAAAGTTTTATAACTGTTCGAGATCTACACTTTTAGTTTAGGAAGTTTTTCCATCCAAGGTCGTTTACAAAATTTGAATTTTAAAATTTTGAAATTCAAACACAGTTTTGCATGACAAGATGTTTTCAAATCAAAAAGTTATAAACTACAAAGTTTCATAACTTTTTGAGATCTACACTTTTAGTTTAGGAAGTTTTTCAATCCGAGGTCGTTTACAAAATTTGAATTTTAAAATTTTGAAATTCAAACACAGTTTTGAATGACAAGATGTTTTCAAATCAAAAAGTTATCAACTACAATGTTTCATAACTTTTCGAGATCTACAGAGTTTATTTTGGTTGTTTTTTCATCCGAGGTCGTTTGAAAAGTTCGAATTTTAAAATTTTGAAATTCAAACGCAGTTTTGCATGACAAGATGTTTTCAAATCAAAAAGTTGCCAATTATAAAGTTTCATAACTTTTTGAGATCTACAAAGTTTATTTTGGTTGTTTTATCATCTGTTCATCCAACATGGTTGTTCTAACATTATTCACAAATCTTATATATCTTTCTTATAGTTTCATAAACTACAAGAGAGATATGTTAGATTTGTGAACAAATTTATTTTCACTTTGTCGTATGAAGAAAAGACCAAAACAAATATTGTACATCTTGATGAGTTATACAACTTTGTAGTTGAAAACTTTTTCATTTGAATTAATTTACTGTTTCAAAATGTGCTTTGAAATTTTCTTTGCCGAGTGTCAAAAAATAACACTCGGCAAAGAGCTTCTTTGCCGAGTGTAAAAACAAACACTCGGCAAATAAGCTCTTTATCGAGTGTAAAAAAAAACACTCGGCAAAGAGACTCTTTGCCAAGTGTCAAAAAAAAAACACTCGGCAAAGAGCCTCTTTGCCGAGTGTCAAAAAAAACACTCGGCAAAGGCGTATTTGCCAAGTGTCCGAAAAAGAACACTCGGCAAACCACCTGACACTCGGCAACTGGCCGGTCTCCGGTAGTGATAGCTTCGGTATGTTCTCGTCGATGTTCATGCGTCGCCATGGATGGCATCTCCTGAGCACCACGGTGTGCTGGTTCATGCTTGATGTGGTCTTCTACACGCTGAACCTTTTCATGATTGATATTTTCACTGCTGAGACCAGCTGGTTTGGCGATGCAAAGAAGGAAGGCATACTGGAGCAGACACACAAAATTGCCAAGATACAAGCGCTTATTGCAGTCAGTGGCACCCTTCCAGGCTACTTCTTCACCATCATGTGCGTCGACAGCATAGGACGTATTGCCATCCAATTGATGGGGTTCACCATAATGACCATCTTTATCCTAGTCTTAGCCGCCATGAACTTCTCGAAAAAGGCTGGAAGTCATTTGCCCATTGGATTCACCGCCGTCGTGTACGGATGCATCTTCTTCTTCGCGAATTTTGGTCCTAACTCCACCACCTTCATTGTGCCAACTGAGATCTTTCCAACACGACTGCGATCTACGTGCCATGGCATCGCTGGTGCAGGGGGGAAGGCTGGAGCAATTGTTGGAGTAATGTTGTTCCTCTATGCTGGGAACAGCATCCCACTCAAACTGCTGATGCTTGCTGGTTGCAACCTAGTTGGCATTGTATTCACTGTTTTTTTGCCAGAGTCCAAACGAATGTCCCTCGAGGACATCACTGGCGAGATACAGGAAGAGATGGAACACGAACCTGAGCAATGTTAAGGGATGAGAACCTGAGCAATGTTAAGGGATGAAAGTCATGGTAGCTGATTAAATTCCGGCACGACCACACACTGTGTGCACTTAACTTTTCAATGTTTAATTTGTACATATATATAGTGTTTTTTAGAACTCGTCCTTATTTTCTTCCATAGTGCAATGGTATGGGTCTAAAAGCCAAGTTTGATCCAATCTCGTTTCGGTAGAAACACAGGCCCGAATGCACATGGAATTCATGACACAAGCACTAATGTCAATTCCCTTGAAATCATCGGTAGAATAAATCAACTAATTATAGTGCAATACTATACAAGAGATTTCAACAGACAAGCCAAATTATTCATAGAGGTTGTTGGCCGAGTTTGGCCTCTCCTTGAGCAAATAACCGGACAGTTCAAGGGCCAATGTCAGCGTTTGTAAAAGAAAAAACTCGATCCGCGGTGGTCAAGACAGGCCCCGGATATTCCTGCTTAAGAAGAAGATCTTCTCATGTAGATCAAGAAAACCCCCGAACCCCTACCCCACCCATACACGCTGAGAGTATACCATGATAGGTTTTACTTTGCTCTTCTCGGCTCTGCTGATGGGTCATGAGAATACCATGATAAATGATAATGTTAAATTGAGACCGAGCGGGTAGCTTGCATTGAGAATGGAGTCTCTATGTAGTGCTCCGTCTGTGTCGATTGAGGACCATATCGCTGTAGACCTGTGTGAGTCGAGACTTTACAGTACTGGCCACATACTCCGGTAAGCCTAATATCTCGGCTATTCCATTATGGGAAAGGACAACCACGCACTGGGAGTGGAGAGATGGCGAGAGTAGCGTGTACCCATCCTACTGGTATAGGGTAGGGCGGTGGAGTACTGTGCTCTTGGGTGGCGTGAACCCGTTTCGATTTTGGAGGATTCGAGTGAAGGTTGATATATGTAGGTTTGTGACCTACATATGTCGTGTGGTAAGGAATCCCCAGCTGGGTTTTAATCGATTCGAATCATCGTTGCTTCTCAGAGAAGAAGACTCGATTCTCTGCTCTACATCGTAGGTAATCAATGAAACATGGTTACTTGTGGATGATAAATGAAAATGAGATGAGATGGTTAATGAAGTGATTGAGCTAGATCAGAAGCAAACTGGATACTACTAATGACTTAATGAGAAGCTAAAACATTGAAAATAAGGATCCACTCATAGTAAGCTTTTCCACAAAAGTTACTTCTTGCTTCAATCTTTCCTTTAAGCCAGCATGTCCTTAGTCTTTTCTTTTGGTCGGGTAAGATTTGTTGAGTACCTGTAACAACCCAGGTTTTCAAATAACAAAAAATCCCAACTTAAGATTTTTTCTAACAAAACCCATGCATGGTGAGTGTACTTACTAGGAAACCACCCCTGTAGTTGCACAAGTAGGTCCCAAGTTAGCATGGATGAGCATTTGCATATTAATCAACTTGTGAGTTGCATCTTCTTGATTTTATGTGATGAAATAAAATCAACATAACCTTTATAACAAACTAGTTGCATGTGAGTTGCCAACTCTTGGCTTGGACCCTAGGACCTTAGATGACCTCAAGTGGACCCCAATAGGATGTATATATGTTGGCAACACATGTATACATGCATAGGTGCCCAAGGTGTAAATAGAAATAGAAAAGGGATCTAGAAAAGGAGGGAAATTGGAAAGGCTAAAGTAGTCCGAGTAGCCCGAGCCGCCCGAGCCAGCCTAGCTTCGCCGTGGCCCAGCTCTCCCCGGGCGCGCCCGCGCGCCCACGCGGCCATGCCGGCCTAGCTCCTCGCTACCGCGACCCTGCCCCCCCTCTCACCGGGTTACCGACAGGCGGGCCCCGTGGGACCCCCTTGTCATCCCCCTTGCTCTTCCCCCTCCTCTGCTTTTCTCGCCACGAGCCGAGCAGAGCATCTCGCCAGAGTGGGCATCCGAGGCCCTGGCTCGCATCCTCACCGCCCGTTCCTGGGCCATTGGGCACCGACGCGTGGATGGACACCACGTCCTTGATCCGCAGCACCACAGACCCCTCCCCCAACCATGCCGCGCCACTGCTGCCGCCTGCCGCCGTGGCCCCACACCATGATGCCACCACGACCCCTTTTTGACCGGAAGCCGCTCGAATTGGGAGTGCGAGCGCTCGCGCGATCACCCCGCGCTCCAAAAACCCTAGCCTAGAGGCTGTATCAGCGCTACATGTACCCCCTCTACCCTTCTTTGCCGTCCTCCGCATGCCAAGGGTGAGCTTGGGGTATAAAACAATCCTCCCAAGTGCCCTAGCCCCTCTCCTATCCACCACGCCGCCACTGGTGGCTTCACCAGCCACACCGAGCCAGAGAAGAGGATGAGAAGGGAGGAGAAGAAGGAAGGGGGGAAGCGCCGCCCGCCGGAGCTGATCACCACCAAGGAGTCGCTGTCGGAGCCGAAGACGCCACCCCAATCGGCTACATCGGTGTAGCTGCTCGGCACGACACTGCACCACCATGCCACAGCCTTGCCTCATCACCACACCGCTACCCTACACCCCCACGCCCGACGGTGAGCCCTGACCCCCACCTCCTATCCATTGTCGTGTGTTTGCCATGGACGCTGCCATGTTCTCTCCACCTAGGAGAGGAAAAGGTTGAGCCTTTAGGCTCCACACCACACCGCAGATGGTGGAGCACATACATGGCCAAGAACCCGGCCTTGCCGAGCCTCGGGCTCTCGGGAACACCGGTGTGCCCTCACTGTGCACCGCACGGTCGCCATGGCTGAGGCCACCTATGGCGCCGCCATGTTCCAGCCAAACCAGGCCGGTAGCGGTTCCCAAACCACCATGGGTGAACTCACCTTAACGAGTAGCCCCCAAAGCGCCCATCTTTTGGCCATAGAGGGCCTAGATGCAGTAGCCCCTTACTACCTCGTCGGCGTGGCCTCAAGTTGGAGCACCACCGTGTTGAGGACGTTCTCGACGATCCCAGCTACCACGCGTCGTGAGGAGGGGCCATTGATGTTTGCCGTGACCCCATGCACCCTGCCGTCTAGTCGGTTGAAGGAAAAGCCCCTGCCTTGCCCTTGTTCATTGAAGCCGTGCGCTCGCCGGAGTTCGGCCGCGTGCCCTTGCCGCTGAGCGGACTCCGCCGTGCCCTTTGGTCGTCGCCGGCATGCCCTTTGGCTCTCTAGTGACCCCAATTGAAGGAAAAGAGCCACCTTTGGCTCTATTGGAGATCGTAGAGTTCTTGCCGCATCCTGCCATCGCCGCTGAGCCGCTGTCGCCATGGCCTACCCCGCCTAAGCCCTAAGAGCCACGCCTAGTGCCCTAGCCATGCTCACTAGAGCACCGGGAAGTGGAAGGACCCCCACCAGAGCCTTGCCAAGCCCCGGACGCCTTCACCAACGTCCTCGTGCCACTGTGAGCCTCTAGGCCACCATTGCTGGTCGCTTAGAACCCTAAACCGTCTCCTTTTAGCCCCTCGGTGGTTTTGCCTTGAAGCCGCGATGACGTGGATACCCCTAGTTGCCCTGCTAGGCCACCGTATCGCTTGACCGTGTGAGCTCACCGCCGGCGGAGGTGCCACCGCGAGAGAGAGAGAGAGAGGGGAGGGAGGAGGAGGAGGCAGCAGTGCCGTGGGGTGAGTGGACCTAGTCCACCGTGGACCAGCCGATGGTCCATGGTGCACCAGCCCCGTGCCCACCATGAGCCGACCCCATGGACTGAGCCTAGTAGTAGCCCGCGCATGCCACGTGGCTAGCCTAGCCGATCGCCACATGTCCAGGCCGGGCCGGCCCAACCTAGCCCAACCCGGCCAATGACCGGTCAACTAAGCCTAGTCAAGCCCCGTCAACGTTGACGTTGACCAGTCAACGCTGACCGTTGACCGCGGTCCCACCTGTTAGTGGCCCGCACAAGTTCAACCAATCCCGTGCTGCCACGTGTCAAACCCAGGATTTTCCATTTCTTTTTCTTTTTCAAAATAAGATTTAAACTTGGAAAATTCATACGACTTCAGAAAATTTTGAATCTAGAGTCCAATTTTTTCTAAAAAAGAGCTCTACATCATAGGCTTATATTTGAGTGCATTTGGATCTTTTGAATTTCTGTTGTTTCTTTGTAATCATCTATAGGAGTCGCTATTTGTGGCTATATGTCTCGTTTGATAGGCCCGGAGGAGCCACAGACTGAGGAGCACGACCCCGACTACACTAAGGAGCTTGGAGATGACCTGCCAGGTGCCACATCCCACCCAACCTCGTAAAATCCTATTAGACATGCTATAATATAGATGCTAGTGCTTTATTTTATGCAAATGATCTGTGATAGGTTGCATGGTAGAATTGCTTGTGAGCCATTACCTTGTCGCAACCTATACCCCTGCACACCTGCTGTTAGGCTAGATGCTCGCTTACTTACTTGCTATTGCTTCTACTATGCATTATATCTGTGATGTGATGCTTGATGGAGGGTTGTTTGTGAGTGGTTAAGGCACTTGGTGCCAATAATGTGGTAACAACCGGGGAGATCTTGGCGTGCGTCTTGTTTGCGTGGTTAGGGTTGAGTCAATATGGCAGGATCTTATGATGAGTCATTGGACAAGTCTTGCCGGGAGGGTGCGACTTGGGCATCCCCTACGAGAGGTACCTATGGCGGGTGCATGTGAGATGAGGAGATCCTAGGGTGGAGTGTCTTTGTGGGATGAAACCCCGGGATGGAGGTGCCGTCAAGGCACGGGGTATTGGTTGGCCCCTTGTGAAGATATCCTATTCGGTTCCCCTAAGGACTGGTATGTCGAGAGAACCGAATCATAGGACCCTACGTGCACGCCACTCATTCTTGAATGGGCGGGGGACGGATGCTGACCAGCTTGGACGGTGCCACTACTACTAGGTTGGAAGTGGATAGTGCAGGGAGGTACGGGCGTGTGACCCACACCCTCCTAAGACAACGTAGTGACCTATGGGGCCTGGTACTATGTCTCACAGTCTTAGCATTTTGGTGGACTCTGAGGTGGCCTAGGTCTA